CTGTGTACGCCTTTTTTTGCTTCCGATTGCATGGTTCTCTATAAACCCTTCATTCAAAGATAGCAATGCCTGATTCATTATGCTACCCTTAAAAGCTTTGCTTGATCATGTATGAATAAGAACTCCAAGTTTTGGATTTTTTAAAACTGTTGATTTTAATTTGTGGTTTCTCTGCAAAAGTGACTTGCGCATTTCTTGCACACAATAAAGACGTTATCGGAACTAAATACTTTTGAATCAGAGAATTACGACGTTATCTTCAACACATTGGATCAGATGAAGGTTTTAACTTTTTATGATATCTTTGCATAGAGGTTGACTAGAAACTACATGATTTCAGTCCTTCTAAGAAATAACGATCTACATATTAAGGAAATTGAAAACTCAGAGGAACAAATAAATGACGTTGAAATCATCTGTAAAACTGAAAATTGCCAGGTAACGATTTTAATTTGTTTTTCTTTTAATACAATGATCCAACGTAGATGGATAAATAATTCTTTTTCTAAGAAATGTTTAATGTTACAGAAGTTTACCCATTTTGTAGAAGAAAATATGGAATTCAACTAGTGTTAAAAAGTCGCACATTAATTTTTCTCTAAAAATCTTCATTTGCATTTTCAAATGAACTTCACGAGTTGTTTAACAATTCAGGATTATGCTGAGATAATTGAGAAGAGGTTAAAACTTCAAGGTCTCCTTGTTGATATTCTCTTCCCTAATCCTTCTCTTAAAATGCAAGAAGTACGAGATACAATAGCTGGCCGAGGGGTCAAGTTTCTTCTCATTGTGGATGATTATCATGTGGTAAGCTCTCAGTAGGTAGATACAAGGGCGTATATCTTTAATTGATCAATTTGTTCAGAATTATGACACTGTTGATGTATTCTACAATGACCTGGTAATCCAAGAGGAGTTCCTATCCATGAACCAATGCAAAGCTGTGACTTACATCCAGGATAAGATCCTACAAAACAAGACATTGTCGTTCATCAAAGATTGTCGGACTTCGGTTTCAACCACAGTTATCCCGTTGGACGTCCAAACTACCTTGGATTTCCTGCAAGCAGATCGACCATTAACAATATTAGAGTTAGATAAACTTATAAAATATTTTACATCAAAGAGAACTGAATTCTTGGAGTTAGAATACGGAGATTATATACCTCAGCATTTAAAGTATCCACCAGTGGGCCCCAATCATGATCCGCTTCTTAAACCTATAAAGAACGATCTTGTGGCCTCCCTCATGGACATCCTGAACGAGAAGCCCGTAGAGGCTGAGGCCACTGTCTCCTCTTCTCAGGTTTCGACCTCAAACCCTCTTCCAATATCGGAAAAGAGTATAGACGAAATTCTGACATACGTCAGAACTAGGAATCAACCGTCGGCACCCTTACAAAGCCAGACTGAAAGTTTGACACAGTTAAGTCAACTTCAAGCCAAGGGTGGTGATATGAATACTTTTCTCGATATGCTAACAGCTATGGAAAATCAAGTAAAAGATATGGCCCAGTTAGCTAAAAGTGCTGCGCATCAAAATATCAAATAATGCGAAAAAAAGTACGCATTTATAGTTAAAAATTTACTGTACAGCCCGGCGTCATCTGCATAATAAAACAAGACATTTGAATATATATATATATATGTTGCGTATATCCGGCCAAACGGTTGGACCGATTCGGCTGAAATTTTTTGTAGACTTGCGTGGGTGGCCGGGGGGTGTTGAGGTTAAAAAAAATTTCACGGGCAACGGTGGGCCCTTCAGCTAGTATTTTGTATATTTTTGTATTCCCTACATGTTAAAAGTTTTTTTTTGTAATCATTAAGCAAAAAATTAAAAATGGAATGTGGGGGAAAAAATTATTGTTGAAAACAAAAAATTAAAAATTGTTGTTACTCGAAATGTTTATAGTTATTCTGAAAAAAAATATGATAGGAAGTAATATTGTTCTTTTAATTTCATAAGACTGAAAAATGAGTTGAAACACTTCGGAACTTCTCTTCATCTCCTGGACATTTTTAGTTCACACTTCTGGTAAATATATCCAGTTATCATATTTTTATCTTTATTTGTTCGGTCCTTGTTTTATTGGTAATGGGGTACTATATGGCTACCTAATTTGGAGTTCCCCAAGTAGTGTGTCTTAGTAGCCATATAGTACCCCATTACCGTTTTATTTATATACATCATTTCACAACTCGTTAGTCAATAAAGGTATGGCATAAAAAATTCATCACAGAGTTGTAATTCTTTTTTGATCAAAAAAAAATAAGTAACACTTTTTTTAAAAATTATTTTTTTTTTTAGGGGAAGCCTGATCAAGGGACCTGATTTAATAAATAGGAAAAGAAGTTGAACTACGTAGATTAACCAGAACCACTGGTTGAATTGGGGAGACATAGTTTAATTATAGCTCTCGCTGTTCAGGTCCCTTGATCAATTTTACTTAGGTCCGCATCATGTGGAATGTATCCTAAGCAATTCATAATCAATTTTATTAATACTCTTCCTATGCACCCTTTTTAAAGATAATTTAAGATATTCTATAGAACTAAAAATATGCGCTAAACTTTTGTTTAATAGAACATCTTTTTATTCATAACATAAAATGTTGAGAAGTGAAAATAATCTTAAAAATATTTTTATTTTAGTTTTTGGAAATGTATGAAGAGCCGTTCACTGTTGAGAAAGGAATGGCCGCAATTTATTTTTGTCGTTTCAATTTTTTCAAGATAATCAAATTTTTATCAGGAATTGATTATTGATAAATCACATTTAATATTTGATTAAGGTTCAGAAGCCAAATATTTAACTTTAAGGAGCTGTAAGTAAGCGTACACATATCTTTTACGGCGAAAACAGAAATGAAAATAAACAGATTAAATAAAGAAAAACATGAAATATCTAATTCATTCATGATCAGACAAAGCTTTTAAGGGTATCGTTGTAAATCAGGCATTGTTTTCTTTGCATAAAGGCCCACAGGGTCACTGGAAATTATGCTTACAGTTTCTTCAAAAAATTACAATTAAACAATAAAACACAAATTGCGGAAGTTTAGGCCGAGCCGCATTAACCGCAATACTTACTGCTTTCGAGTCCAGCCATTTTTCAGGTTAGAAACCAAATTTGTCAAATAACAAGATGTAGTTGAACTAAATAGACTGGTTTGAGCCACATCTATTTACATGAAGAGAAGTGACTTATCTTAGTCAATATACTTGTCACAATATACAAACATAGTTTAACTATTTATCACTATCATATTCATTATTAATACAACGGGCATATTTTTTTTGTTAAAGATTGATTTCTCCGGCCCAGAGTCATTTCAAAAGTTCCATATGCATATGCATATGCATATGCATATGCAGTTAAAAAACGGGTTGTCCAAATTTCAGCATGGGGGGGGGGTGATTTGGGGAAAAAAATGAAATTGGTTAGTTTATTTTATGCTTTTTGATAATTTTTTACAGAAAAATTCATTTATTTTCCCTTATTCAGCGAATAAAACCATTAAAAAATCCAAGCACATATAAGATCTGGGAAAAAAGATTGACACATATGTTAATTATTGTACTGCAGGGCAGTTGGGTTCAGCAAAAGAGGAGGCGGGGAATAGTATGATAAAATATCAACAATTGGTATTCCCGCTCTGTACACAAATACAGGTATCTATCTGTAGATGTGAAGTAGTAGTATCTGTTTTGTTTGTTTGCAGTATTCCCGAACATAACTCACGAGGATAACCGATTTGCCTCAAATTAGAGAACAATCCCTTTCGAACTTTTTTTAACCTTTTTTTTGAAGTTTAATTTTTTAACATTTTTTAAAATAGAACAGTAAATTTATTCTCTGGCTGTTTTATCATTTTTTTTTGGCTTATCAGTGATCATTTATCTGTTTTCTGTTCCTCTTTTATAGATCTATTAATAGATCTAATATTTGTATGAAATATGAATTTTGACACAAATTTCTGCTTTTGTTTCTCCCTAATATTACGCATATTTCCCAGAGCTGCAGCTCTTTTATTGGTGGTAATACAGCGTTAAAAGATGAATGCAGGCCTTTAATTTTTATTGTAGTTCTTTTTTCTTTTCCATTTGTGTGCAGAGGTGTAATCTGTATACCCCCCACTTACACCCCTGGATAAAGTTTCTCTAAAATGCCATTTTCTCTCTCTCACCGTTTATCTCTGTATACTTTCAGAAGGGCCTAGCAAAGGCCTAGATGTTGCTTCTCTGAAAGCTGAATGTACAATGTGCCCTTTCAACCTCTAATATTTTGATTTATGTTTTATGTTTTATAGCTTGGAGTGATTGCCCAGTTCGGATTTCAGCCTAACGGTGAGGGAATTATTCAGTTCAATCAATTAATCAAACTTCTGGAGAGAGAAGATCAAGAGGTAGGGCAAATAAAATTAGTCAAAAATAAACTAAAGAAGTAGGCTTATTTAATTATCAATTGATCAATTAAATCAATTAATTAAAATAATTGATTAAGAGCTGAATCAATTAATTAAGTTGCAAGATTATAGTAATCTTGTATTTAGATTGCTCGGCTTGCAGTTCTTGTGAAGAACAACTTTATTCCTCCTCTATGCCTTCCTTCCATCAACTCCCAGCAACCGAGATAAACACATAAAACAAGTAAGTAGCAAATCCAAGGATCTAAAATGTTGCATCATAAGATCAGGATCGAAAGAACAGTTTTTCAATATCAATTTCGATGAAAACCAATCACTTGCGTTTTATAGCAAAGATTTACCCTTTGGCTTTGTTATTTATTTATTTTTACAAAAAGTATTTGCTGCATGTAACATTTAGTTCATTGTTGTCCAGAAGACATAGATTATAAAAAAAGAAATAATGGTATTACCATGATAATAACAATTATTGTTAAAAAAATCATTTTATTATTTGTTGCAAGGTTTTTCAAATTTAGAATCATGAGTTCCTGGATTCCAAACATTCACATTCCTGGAATACTAAAAAGGTAACATAGTACAGTAAGACACATAAAACTAGGAATAAGGAAGACAATATTGTGTATTTGTTGTTCCTATGAAGCAACTAGGTTAGCCACTAACATCTAGCTTAAACATCAACTTTTTAAGTTAAATGTCGACCGCTCAATTGCTGTCTTTTATGTTTATTGTACTATTCAAAATCATTACTTAAACAGTAGAACAGTAATCCCCTTTTTCATGTTTATAGGTTCAAGTGGAAGTACAGTGTACATTGTCAAAAATAAAATACCTGTTCCTCATATTTTCCTACATATATCTAATTTTTGTGTATTTATTTGTAAATCGGAAATCAGAGTCTAAATATTTTCTTGATAATTTATTTTTAGGGTATTGTATGTAATTGGGAGAAATAAATGGTTTTAGGGGAAAGTTAATGAGTTTATGGGTGGTGGAGAGTGGATAGGTCTTGGCATTATACAACCATGCTCCCCTGAATCATGAATACCAAGAGAGAGTGCAAAATCCTTGTATCCTTGCATTTTTGTATACTACATGCATAGTGCTACACAGCAATCTCACTAGGTGTACTGTCCATTTGTGTCTGTAATCTCTATGTACATATATATATATGTATGTATTATGGGTACTGAGCGGAAAACTGTAGAATTGTGGATTTAAAAATCAATGCTTGTTCTCCTCTTTTATTGATATCAAGATTAATTTAATCTTTAGTTTGCATTCTGGAAAGCGTAAAAAATTCAACCAATCAGATTGTGGATCGGAGAATCCGAACAGCCAATTAGATTGCCGAGAGATTTTTAAATTTTGCTCGCGCTATCATAAAGAGAACTCTCATTGGTCGCAATCCAGCAGTGATATCCAAAAGAGAGAATGAACAATAAAGTTAAAAGTTTCCACAGTGGATATTTAGATTAAGTGTTTTGGATTAAGTGTATAAAATTATAAAGTTTTCAGCTATGTACAGACTACAGAGTACATATCTCTTATTGTCCCAAGGGTGGGCTGGTTCTCCATATTTACCTGAGTTTCAAGTTTGCAGTTGTTTAATGTTAGCGATTTTCCCAATGGTTTTCCCAAGCTGAAACTTTCCAAGGGTATTTTCCCAAGTGGCAACTTTCCAACTGTGCAATTTCCCAAGCGCCAACTTCCCAGGCACTTGGTCATCATAGTTTGTTTAGCCGTAGCGCTCGACCCCTTGACCATCATAGGTGTAAAACTTGGCCCCCATTACAGCCTGTCGCGCCTCAGAGGGCCTAACCTAATCTTTTGAAAGCTGCCGCTTGAAAAACTGTTATTAGGGACATTGCCCTGTGAAAATACATTAACACCTTCAATTTGTAGATCTCACTCCGACGCTGTTATGTTAACGAGTAGACCAAGTATTCAACAGAAAGCAAGTTTAGATCTTGATTGTATTCCCGAGGTAAAAATGAGCATTGTTTTTGTTTTTGTTTTTGTTGTTGTTTTTACATTCTAGGGGTTTTCTGATTTATTAGTTTCCAAAAGAATCTGAGATGTTGAAACAAATTAGAATTGTATTCATTTTAAGTTTGCATTAAATTTTAACTAAGACATAGAACAATTTTATTATATCTTTTTTAATAATGTGATTAATATAAATTTGAGAGCATATAATTTTGAACAATGACTAACATTTTTGTAGATCCTCTTAAAGTCTAAAACCTTTGATTTAAAAACAACCCAGAAACAATGCCCATATTTAGTTTTTAATAGTTAATTTATATGGGGGAAGAGGGAGGGGGGTTGGGGAGGCGTTGGCACATGCTTACTCCTTTCTCTTTTGTTAAAAATTTTTGTTTTATTTTAAAAAAGTAACACTTGTCTAAGCTTTTCAGTTGATATAAAAGCGCAACAATTGTTAGATTGAGGGTTAGCTAAGCTAAATAACAATTAAAAAGGATAATTAATGGTAAGTTGGATAGATTAAAAAACTATTTATAATAGTGCCCAAAACCAGAGTGCCTTCTTAAGTTTAAATTGCCATGACAGATATAGAATTTAAATTATTGAATTTGGTATATTGGAATGTTTTCATCTTTTTTGGGCATTTGTTTTTCAAAATCATCAGATTTCCCCCACCCCCCCTCCCCCCGAAAACTAGTAAATTTCATCACTTAGAATTATTTAGTATGTAAATTAGTTATTTTTTGGTTTCCCTAAAACAAAATTAAGGACGGACTCCGTCTATTGCTAATGATATTGAGGATGAGTGTTCTAATTCTGAAAATTCCAGGTTGAGGGAGAATCCGAGGTTCTACTTCTAGATGAGATTAAATACCTCTCTGGGTCCCTACCTCCTAGAATACTTGGAGCAGACTGGAGGCTGGTGTATTCAACCTCGTCCAAGGGATTCAGTCTCGGCAATGTTTATCGGTCATTCCAGGTAGTAAACATTATTCCAGGTAGTAAACAGTATTCTAGGTAGTAAACAGTATCCAGGTAGTAAACAGTATTCCAGGTTGTAAACAGTATTCCAGGTAGTAAACAGTATCCAGGAAGGAAACTGTATTTCAGGTAGTAAACATTATTCCAGGTAGTAAACAGTATCCAGGTAGTAAACTGTATTTCAGGTAGTTAACAGTATTACAGGTTGTAAACAGTATTCCAGGTAGTAAACAGTATCCAGGTAGTAAACAGTATTCCAGGTAGTAAACTTTATTTCAGGTAGTAAACAGTATTTGAGGTAGTACTCAGTATTCCAAGTTTTTATATATTGATGGCAAAATTATTGATATTTTTCTGGTTTTAGGGAAAAACTGGACCTACTCTTGTATCAATTCAAGATACAGCTGGAGCTGCTTTCGGGGCCCTAATTTCAGAACCAATCAAGTAAATATTGTTTTCAAGGCCTTAGTCTCCCAATATAAGAAATATCAGAAAAAAAAACAGATTTTGGGATTCCTTCTGATCAAAACGAATTGTAAAAATTAAATAACCGCTATCGAATCTTTAGTTTCAAAACTTCAGTTTCAAAACCTATCAAATAAAAGCTAGTTTAATTCCTGCTTTTTTCGGGTCTAGTTTCAGAACGGAGTAAGTCATTTTAAAGAGTTTTTTAATTCTTTGTTGCACTACCATCAAGATAGTTAAAAGCCACTTTCGGGTCCTTTGCGTGAGTGATTGTTACAATAAAAAAAGCTGGTTTTGGTACCCCAACATAAACAGTGGGACCCATAAACTGGTTTTGGTACCCCAACATAAACAGTGGGACCCATAAAACTGTGGAATAGAAGGACGACTGTTAAACTCAGAAGTTGTGCAGTGAACACAGACCCATTTCAATAAATAAGATAATAAGCTTCTGATAAAACTATTTCTTTATAGTAACATCAAATACACATATGATGGCTTAAATGTCATCCTCCTATTCCACAACTGTATAGGCCTCACTGTATCAAAAAGTTCGAAAGGATCACTGAAACTTATTTTCAACTCTCAATTTATCCTAGAATGGATGAACACTTCTATGGAACAGGAGAGAGTTTCCTGTTTTCTGTTCGCCCGAACAGGAAAATATATAAGTGGACAGGAGAAAACCAACTCTTCGTTCAGGTCAGTAATAACAATAATTAGTGGTTAGGATCCATTTCATAAATAGTTCCCTAAGTTATCTCAGATTAGATCAGACAAATTCAGTAATATAATTAGTTTAAACCTTAGTTTAAACCCAATTATGACGGGGTATGCCTAATTCACAACAGCACCCTTTAAACCTTTCTTTAACACAAATGTGGAAGTTATCATCAATTGTCTAGATTGCAAAGCGTTTAATTCTGAGAATATCCTTCATTGTGTCTGTTGTAGAACTTCCTATATAGAAGATATAAACAGAAGCCTATATATCTATCATACTTAATCATACAAAATTTTAAAGGGCACCGCTGTGAATCGGTCATGCCACTCTACATAGGAAATAAGTTACTTAGAAATTACACTAACAGTCTCTTTAATCAAAGATATTTTTACAATCTTGGGATTTAGAGTAACTGAGACCGAACTTGAATAATAGATTTAGATCTAGACTGGGCTGAACTGCCTACCGCCGGTTCAAATTTGAACCACTGATTCAAATTCTTCCTCAATCTTTCACTTTGAATCGGTGGTTTAAATTTTAGCGACGAAACTCAAATTCTTAAAATTCGGTCTCTGTTTAGGGAACTTCTCAAAGTTTGATAATCGGAGCAGGAGAAGGACATTTTGGCCTTTTCATTGACAGCAATCTGTACAAGGTATTTCAGAGATGTATATTTTCTTGTAAATTCATTTTTCTGCCCCTTCCCCTTTTTGAAATTTTTTTCCCCAGAAGTTATATATATGCATGCAAATTTGTTAAGGGTTTAAATCGCAGAATTAAGGACATTAAATGATTTTATGGGGAAAATAAGTGAATTATTGGGTAAAAGGTATGAAAAAACGTCAAAAATAATTGCCGCGGGGGGAGAGTATTTCTGAAAAATTTACACCCCTGGGCCTGAGGTATTTGTTACTTGTTGTTATTTTAGAGATATATTAAGTGATCAGTAATTTTATAAATAAACGGGAAAACGACAATTTGGAGTTTATTGCTAAGAAGGATTTAGATTTTTTTATCGATTGATTCTCAAAATTTCAGTTATTTTAACCATTGGCCGAATTTAAAGAATTTGAGCGGCAGTTTAAATTTAAGCCGCGGCTTAAATATGGTTTGTTCCGCTTAAAATTGTATCAAATGTTTCAAGATTTAAGCCGGCGCTTAATTCAAACCGGGTTTTGGCAGTTTTAAACCGCGGCTCAAATTCTTTAAATTCCATCTCATATAGAAGTAATTTTGCCATTTTATCGACAGCAACCTTTACAGGGTATTTGTTCCTTGTTTTTATTTCAGTGGTAGATTGGTAATCAGTAATTTTATAAATTAAAGGGGAAAACAGCAATTTTGGAATTTTCATGCTAGAAGTTATTTAGTTTAGATTTATGTGGGATTATCAATATATAAAGTTGGCTTGTCTGTTTGTTTGTTTGTTTGTCTGTTTGTTTGTATCCAATAAACGTCTAAACGGCTAAACCGATCGGATCCAAATTTTTTGTGGGACCTCACGTGATCCCAGGGAAGGTTTATGAATGATCAAAATTTAAAAAATGTGTTTAAAAGTTTTTTATTTTTGAAAATTTTGAAAATGCGCAAAAAATATTATGAAATCCGCAAACTTTTTTTGTTTTTGTTTTATATTGTACAAAGAGAAGATGTTCAGAGATAAAGCCACAGTTAAAGGTTGAAATAGAAGATGGGTGCGAAGCGCCATAAAAGCCTAGTAAGATATATGGGACTTGGCACAGGGGTGTATATTTTAAGAATTGCTTACATACATTTTTTCGTGAAAACAAGCATCCCTGAGTTGCCAGATATATTGAAATACTTGATCTTCAAAAAATCAGTTATTTTAACCATAACAAAGTAATTTTTCAATGAAGAACTTTTTTGCTCGTTCATTGAAAGATATTTTATTATTAGGGTCGAACACAGGCCTGTGCTACTTATGGAAACGAACCTCTGAGGACTGGGGAAGATTTTCTGATTAAAACCTTCGAGTGTTGGACTTTTCGCTGATTTTGAGCTCTTCTTTGTCGCCATCTGGTCAATCCGCCATCTTGAAAAGTTCCCTTGATAATACACAGAACTAAAAACAGGGTTTATTTTTCTCACTTGGATTGCTTAAAGAATTCGCTGCTCGTAAAATTTGTAAACATTTTTTTATTTAAAAAAAAATGTAAAAAAGAAGAACTGCGTAAAGGGTCTATTGTCGTATTTTAAATCAAGCCTTCATTTAATGAATATTGTCTTGTCCGATTCTCAATGGTGATGTGAAAGATATTTTCGTTTTTCTAGCGTAAACATTGTTTAATGCAGACAATTTTCTGCATTGTTCTGAGGCGGAAAACATAAAGTCACTTTTATTGAGAAGCCATAATTATAAAAATAACCCTGTGTCCGAATTTAATGAATTCAAGCCGCATCTCAAATTCCTCCAAACCGGTTTTAATGGAGCGCCAGCTTAAATCTTGAAAAATTGAATTCAATTCTATGTGGAACCAACCATAGTTGAGCCGCGGCTCAAATTCTTTGAATTCGGCCTCTGGATTTCCAACTAATTTTGGTTCAGAGCATTCTTTTAATGGTGCTGTTTTGAATCCGACATGCCACGTAATAAATTGAGTCATTTATGTTAAACGCTTGAATGCAACCGATTGAATTTGAGCAAATAATCCTGTATTGTAAAGTTTCCCGCGCATTTCTAAGATATTTACAATCAAACTATCAAGTCCAAAACTACTAATAGAAAATATGAATATCTATTTAATCAACGAATTTTATACTAAGTGTTTGATGCACCATGTTTAACATGTTGTAACATGGTGTCTAATAGAAACATGGGAATCAATGTGTGTTTAAATATCAATGGAAATCTAAGACGTTTGAATTGAAGAAATGAATCTCTAAAATTTGAACAAGATTTTTTGAAAACATTGTCGATATTGGATAAATATAAATCAGAGCATGCCCTGCTTAACTCTTTAAATCTTTGTCGGATCAATAATAAGGAAGATATCGTTATTTTTCGTACTTGAGAATAGTAATTAGTTCTAACAATTTCCGCCATCGTCTGATAAAGCAGAAATTTGCACATCACGCTGTAGAGAAATTGCAATTTAAAACGACGATGGGTACCCTTGTTAATCGAACCTGCTACTCTATTGATTAAGAGTGACTGGACAGTCCTTTAATCTTATCAATTGATTCCTTACAATTAGGCACCACTTGTAACCTAATGTTTGATCAATTTTGTTTCTAGTACAGGGTTACCCAGAAAGAATAAGACTGTAAAGACGACTTTAAACTCTTGAAATATGTCGATCCCAAGTTTAAATTAAATCTTCTGCCTTGGCTTTGGTCTTTAAATGGTTTACCCAATTATTGGCAAAGAAAAAAGTTTATAGTTGAAGGTTTTTATGAAGGTAAAATTGTATAAATTCCGTACATTCGTCTCGAAATGTTCTCAACCTATGTTGCGAACCCTGTAAGTCTAGTCATTAGTTATTTGTTATAGAGATAGAGCAAACTGTTTGCTTGTTATTTGTATATATTATTGTATTGTACTAAGTACATAGTATACCACGCAATTAATCAATTGAAAGATTTAAAAACTGAAATTGTATTTAAGATAACGGGATGTTTAGAGATGATAATTTTCTGCTAAGATATAAAATAATGCCGTTTTTGGGTCACAGAAGTCTCTAATTATCTGACAAAAAATGTTTTTCACTATGTTCGGAAAATATTTCTATATCCAATATTCTTTGCAGAAACATCAATATTGACATTGAATTTTACCGATGGAAATGTAAATTTTATGAGTTTCTATTATAGACTGTTGTAATATTTGGTTTTTATCTGTAAACTCATAGTTCCCAAATTGATTTTATATCAGATAATTCTAATGATTTAATAGCGATGAGCAAGCAATCAAAGAAAATCTATTGTAAGAATTTATTTTAAGATTTGAAATCTTTGTTTTACAATCATGCATAAAGTTTTTTAAGGCGATGGAATTTGTATGTGCTTATTGAAAGAGACTGGGGTTTTATGAAATTTAAAAAATATTTTAGAATTAATTAGGATTTTGATCTATTCGAGTCCTGGTTGACATCTCTCCTTTCTGTGATTTAACTGGTTTTAAATATTTTACAGTTTTTATTACTGATTTTATATTATATGTAGAAAATACATCTATTTTGTAACTAAGTTTCGTAGAAACGCATCGTAAGAAATAATGTTTTTAATCAAACAAATGTACTCAATTTGAAGTAAAATTGTTGTCTCTCTTAACTGATTTAAAATAAGTTCCTTTCGTAAAATACTATAATGAAAAATTATCTCTTCTTCCCATCGTTATTTGGACGGGTTTTCAGCATAATATATGTCGTCAATAAAATAGCTTTAAGTAGGTTTACGTTGATTAAACATAAATCCAAATATTATTAAAATTTTATAATTAATATATTTACTAACTCAACCCTCCAGTGATCTGATAATTGTGATATTTTTTACCCAGTTTTAAATGATTTAACTTTAAGTTACAGACATGTAAGAAAAGGCTACGAATTAAATTATTTATTACTTACTCTTTTAAGTTCAAATTAAGCGCCATTGCACTAAAGGAAAACATTTTTAAGGGGTCGGAAAGTAAAAAAATATTTTTCCCTGCATTACATAGCTTATAATTGATAAAAATTTAAAAATACGGAATTTTTAAAATCCCCCAATAAAGCTTGAATAATCCATAACCTCAAATCTAAATCAACATCTTCCATGTTTGGTAACTAACAATTTTACAGAGTGTACAATGGACATTGTGCGCGAAACAGCAAGCACACTAGCCGCTCTTCAATCCCCTTTCTTCGCTAAAACTGATTCTATAGAGAATATATCAGCTTGGCTCGAAGGTTACGCTTTTCAAAAGTGAACTGGCTCAATTAACCAGTTATTGTAAATAACTGGCTCAATTAACCAGTTATTGTAAATAACTGGCTCAATTAACCAGTTATTGTAAACAACTGGCTCAATCAACCACTTAAACTACTTAACTGTAATTTGTTTATTGCTCGATGTTAAATGTTAACTAATAATTAACCTGTAGATTAAATGTTCAAATAAAAATGTTTGACAAAAAGTTTAATATTAATATTAAGTTTTGTTTTATCTAAACACATTTTAACTAACTTTATTTATTTTCCTTTTATTTTCATCAAATTATTTTTTCGTTTGTTTATATTTTATTGATTTTGAATTTTTTTATTTTCTAAATTTTATTTTTAGGTTTATCAAAAAGTGAGGACAAGAGAAAGTTCTTAGAATGGACTTTACACATTTTAGGGCAACAGTAAGTTTTATTTTTTATAATTTAAAAAAAAAATTAATATCAAATATTCATTGTCCCTTTCCATTTACAGCACACACTTCTATGGATCAATTGCTATAACAACTAAAACAACGGCACAGTAAACAGTACCTTATGTAGCCTAATATGTGTAAAATGAAGTATATGTTGTGTAGTTCTTATATCCTAGACTAGTTCTTCAAGCCACATGGAGAAACTGCAATTGTATATTATTATTTAAAAGTTCAAAAATCAAGAATATTTCGAGAACTATTGACGATAAAAAGGTTTTAAGGGTAACATTGTGAATCTGTCATGTAATAGGTAAAATGAAGGGTCACTCCAAATATCGCCGACAGTCCCTTTAAATAAGAATATTGTAGAGTAGGACTTAAGCCTGGATTACGCCGACAGTTCCTTTAAATGAGAATATTGTAGGGTTGGACTTGAGCCTGGATTACGCAGACAGTCCCTTTAAATGAGAATATTGTAGGGTAGGATTTGAGTCTGGATTACGCCTACAGTCCCTTTAAATGAGAATATTGTAGAATAGGACTTGAGCCTAGTTTACGCCGTCAGTCCCTTTAAATAAGAATATTGGAGGGTAGGATTTGAGTCTGGATTACGCCTACAGTCCCTTTAAATGAGAATATTGTAGAATAGGACTTGAGCCTGGATTACGCCGTCAGTCCCTTTAAATAAGAATATTGTAGAGTAGGACTTGAGCCTGGATTACGCCTACAGTTCCTTTAAATGAGAATATTGTAGGGTAGGACTTGAGCCTGGATTACGCCGACAGTCCCTTTAAATGAGAATATTGTAGGGTAGGACTTGAGTCTGTATTACGCCTACAGTCCCTTTAAATGAGAATATTGTAGGGTAGTACTTAAGTCTGGATTACGCCGACAGTTCCTTTAATTGAGAATATTGTAGGGTAGTACTTAAGTCTGGATTACGCGTACAGTCCCTTCAAATGAGAATATTGTAGAATAGGACTTGAGTCCGGATTACGCCGACAGTTCCTTTAAACGAGAATATTGTAGGGTAGAACTTGAGCTTGGATTACGCCGACAGCCCCTTTAAATGAGAATATTGTAGGGTAGGACTTGAGCCTGGATTACGCCGACAGTTCCTTTAAATGAGAACATTGTAGGGTAGTACTTAAGTCTGGATCACGCCTACAGTCCCTTTAAATGGGAATATTGTAGAGTAGGACTTGAGACTGGATTACGCCTACAGTTCCTTTAAATGAGAATATTGTAGGGTAGGACTTGAGCCTGGATTATGCCGTCAGTTCCTTAAACCAAGAATATTGTAGGGTAGGACTTGAGTCTGGATTACGCCGACAGTTCCTTTAAAAAAGAATATTGTAGGGTAGGACTTGAGTCTGGATTACGCCGACAGTCCCTTTAAATAAGAATATTGTAGAGTATGACTTGAGTCTGGATTACGCCGACAGTTCCTTTAAACAAGAATATTGTAGAGTAGGACTTGAGCCTGGATCACGCCGTCAGTCCCTTTAAATAAGTATATTGTAGAGTAGGACTTGAGCCTGGATTACGCCGACAGTCCCTTTAAATAAGAATATTGTGGGGTAGGACTTGAGCCTGGATCACGCCGACAGTCCCTTTAAATAAGAATATTGTAGGGTAGGACTTGAGTCTGGATTAGTAAATATAGGACTGTTCTCTTCACAACAAGATGCTAAATCCACCATATTAGGACATTATGGGCGGAGTTTGGTTTTATTAATCTTTGAATTTGTGAGAAAAAATGTTGTTTATACAGGGTTACCCACAAAGGATGAGACTGTAAAGACTACTTGAAGTAATCCCTACAATATTACGATCCTAAAGTTAAACTAAGTCTTCTGTCTTGACTTAGTTATTTTACTGAATTATTTAATGATTTGGTAAATAAAGAAATAAGTTAATAGTTGAAGGGAATCATGAAAATTAGGAAACAGACAATTTTAATTCCCTACAGTCGTCTCATCCTTTGTGGCAACCCTGGTTTCTTCAATAATATAAACATAAACACTAAACAGTTCAATTTTTTATTTTCATCTTCCCCAGTAAAATCATTTAATTTGAAAAATTTACACACCTTACTTATTTCCAGCTGACTGACAACTTAAATTAAATTAAAAACTTAAATTCGGACTTTCTACTCACTTCCTTAATGATTAAGAAAGTATAAAAAAATAGAATAAAAGCCGCTTTTCTCTCAAGATTCAAAAAGCAGAAATTTACTTAATCAATGGACATGGCGTAATTTTCTCAGACATATTAAATTTTAAGATGTCAAAAATGAATGTTAAATAATTTTTTTTCTTAATGCCCTAATTCCTTTCATCTGAATTGTATGTGTAATATTTTTAGTTTTTATTGATGGAAAAATGGCGGAAGAGAAGGATAAGGAAGTTTGGAAAACAGTTTTTCAACTGATAATCAACAATTCAAAGGAAATCAGGCGTTAAATTACTTTTTTAAGTTAAAAATTACTCTGTAAAAAAATGTAAACAAATTTTTTTTTGTCACTTATTGAATGATAAAAACATTTTTATTGAAGTTTTTCTTACAAAAAAAGATTATTTTAAAAAATAGATTTTTCATTTTTCGTCTAGTTTGAAGTTAGTAAAGAAAACATGATGGCAGACTTCAGACAATGTGAACAGTTCACAGGTACTAAATAACATTTTTATATTTTTCCATTTCTAAGTAAAGGTGTTTATTGATGGGCATCTTATTTGATCGAGCGATTTTTTTCCTTTCAGAGCAAATTTAGCATATTAGCAAGTTTTAAGATCTAAAAAAATGCTTCTATTTAGATATAAGACGTAATTTTGACACTGGATGCATAAATGCTGAAACGATATCTTTAATCGTTACTTTTGATTGTCTCGTCCGTTCAGTTTTCTTCTAATAATAATAATAGTAATAATAATATTTGCCATCATATTAAGTATTAAAACTTGAAAAAAATTTTTGGTTCACTCATGCATGGTCCTGATACTGACCATCCGAAATCAAAGACGTTGACCTGAAAACTTTTGTATTTGATACCTTTAATCCCGATTGTTAAATCTCTGTATCCACTGTGGACACTTATGAGCTTTTGCTTAATCCTCTTTTTGGATATTCCTGCTTAATTCCGATCAATGAGAGTTCTCACATTGATTGCGCGCAAAATTTCAAAATTTCTCGGCTTCTGTTTGGTTTCAAAAATCGACACTGATTGGTTGCAATTTAGACACTTTCCCGGATATCAATGTAGGATTAAATTAAACTGCAGGTTAATTAATAGAGGGGATCAAGCATTGATCTTGACATCCACAATTCTAAAGTTTTCTGCTCTGAACTATCTTTTTTCTAGATAGTTTGGCAGAGATAGTCTCCTTCTCCGACCAGTTAACTAAACCTATTCAGATTCTAGACTATCAGGGAGGACAATGTTTAATTAAAGGAACTGTTAAAGTTTATGCAAGAAACCTTCAATTTAAAGAGCTACATTTGCACTGTTCACAAGCATTTATCTTAGAAACAATGAGGAAAAATCCTCCTTTTTCTTTCTAAAAAAATGCTTAATGTCGATTTTCTTACACTTCTTTGCTGCTTTATTGTACAAGTCACTTTTTGGGAAAAATCGCAATTAAAAAATTATTAAATATAAAACTCCAACATTTTTGCTTTGTCAAAGGTTTAAAGGGTACCCTTTAGAATTGGGCTAGGAACTATTTAAATGGAGGCTCACTTGAACTTTAACGGTCAGTTCCACTTTGTTGCAGTATCTCGTCAATTTGATCCTAAATACTGCTATGTGAAGATACCATATTGTTTGAAGGAAGTCCGGATGTAAAAAAATAGGCAATTAAAGACACCTCAGGGGTGTATTGTACATTTTTCAGGATAATCAGAATTGGAAAATGAAAAATTGGACCTCTAACAGTAACTTTTTTCATTCTTGATACTTTTTACCTAAAACTTTAACCAATTCAGCGAATAAAACCGTAAAATAAAAATTCCGCTCCGCACATTTAGTTTCCTTATTGATAATTTTTAAGAAAAGAAAAATTATTATACACCCCTGAGACACCAAAAATAACATTGTTAAAACTGAAAAAGGTTGTCATAAAATTCTTTAAACAAAAAAATCTTATTCGGGAAAATTTGTTTGGTGAAGGTATTATTTTCTATTTTGTCCAGTTGGAGAAAGCTATTGGAAATAGTTCAAAGCCCTCGTCTACTCCATCCGCCGAAAATTTGAAATCTTTTCTGAGGAACTTTTTTCAATCATAACTTGCTCCAAATTTAGGAAATAAAACAATCTAAGGATTATTTCTTTCCTCTGCAATGGAAATTATTTGATTTATTAATAATGAATATTGTAGGTCTTCATTTTTTTGTAATTTTTGTAAATTCACTTCCGAGTCTTGAAGGTTGGAGAAGGTCGTCGGTAATTTCCTAGAGAGTGCTTTTTGGACTCCCCNTAGAGTGGAATTTACTAGAAAAAAGTGTAAAACGGCCATTTTATTGTACTGTTTCCATACTGCGGGTGTACTTCACATATTTGTGCTATATAACCTTTTGGGCCCTGGAACATCATTTTATAGAAAATCGAAAATTAAAATGCCTTTCACTTTACAAACGACGATTTTCCGTTATAACTATAAATCAAATGATGTTTTTATTCACCTAATTCATTTTATAAAGTTTATTTAACAGCTTCAAAAAATTCGAAATTGAAATGGATAGTTAGGGAACATATTGTATTAATGTACTCTACGGCATATAATTTGTGAACATTTACATGATTTGTACACTTTGAACTCCCTTTCAGGCTGAAAGGGACTGACAAAATTCATACCGAGGGATTCTCAAAATTCATACCGAGGGATTGTCTAAATTCCACTCTAATGTATATTCTATTCTCTTTGGATGTAATTCACATGGCCAAGTTGGCCATGTGGCCGAGGGAAGGAACCCCCGGACGCCATGAGCCTCCACTATGAGAGACGAGCCTCTTCTATGCAGAAATGAGCATGCGCAATACATCAAAATGTGTGTGTCAATTTGTGCAATACAGGAAGGTTTTTTTTTACTTGTGTTTTAAGTTTAAATAAAATATTTTTTTCAAATTTTTCGACAAAGTGGCTTAAGATGTTTCTCAAAGGTAATAGGTATTTCTCAATCATCTTAAATAATGTCTAATTATGACTAATAAAGTGGTTTAAAAAAACATTTGTTACATAAAAAGTAATAAATCTTATAATCCATATATGTTTCTAATCATAACAATCAATAAAGAACTCTAATCTTTAGTAAAATTCTTATGACACTTCGTCAAAAAAATGTTAAAATTTTTCATTACACATAAAAACCAAGATTTATAAAAAGATGTGCTGTATAATGGTGGCTCGTTTACTGCATAGCAGAGGCACGGTCTGCATATTGTAGACTTGGTCTGCATAGTGGAGCTCGGTTTGCCTGGCAAATCTGGGAGGATCGTGATCTCTCCTTTCTGTGATTTAACTNGTGGGTATGCTCAAGAAACAAGACCACTGTTAAATACCAAAAAAACTTCAGCTCATTCACACATAAAAATGAAAACTTAGGGATTTTAAATTTATATTCTTGTTCTATTGCAACAAATTTTTAAAATGATGTAGTTCTGTGTATTTTCTTGTGTTTTTCAACATTTTTGATACTTATGACAAAAAGCACTGCAAATGATCGATTGCTTCAAAAGTTGTCTACGCTTGGATTTGTCTGGTCTTAAACCAGAAACCGTCTTGAAGTCCAGAGTGACAAGGTTGACTACTTTGATTCATTCAACATTTTTTTAAATAACTAAATATTCGAACAATATTTATTTTGTTAAGATCATTGGATTAAGTCTGAGAAAATGAATAAATGTGTCATTTTTATTGCTGTAAACTCCCTAAAAATCAATATAGTTGATAGTAGACCTTACTTCTTAAAGATTTTCTCAGTATAAGTGTGAAGAAAAGACTATAATTAGAAGAATTCTGAAAAAAAAACAATAAAACCCAAAACAGCCCACTTACGGTTGGTTTTTTTATGTTGATTTTTTTTGTTTTTTTTGACTGGGTTTTTAAGACAACCCTGTTAGTATAATAGTTTATAATGATCGGATAATATGGATTTTAAAAAGTTTACTTAATAATAGTGAACTTAATGAGCAAGCGAATTTTCCCTACTGATATATCACAATGATAACCAGAAAATAGTAGAATGATTATTATTATTATTATTATCATCATCATTATAGTCGTCATTTTTACTTGATTTTTTTGAGCTGAGATGTCGCTTATGTTAAATTCATAGCGATAAATCTCTCATTAGAAGATAAACGAAGACGGTAATCATTCCACAGTTTTCTGGATACCACTGTATTAAATAAAGAATTCCTAGATGGGATTGGTATGTTGAATCTGCAAGAAGATCTCAACAAATTTAGTCTAGAGTCCGGAAGCTTAAAATCTTTATGTCAGGTTAGTATAAATAAATAGTTTTTCACAAAATCATGAATTTTTATGGTTTAGGGAGAAAAAAATGAAAAATTTGACAAAACAAAACTCTCAAGAAAAACATTATCTGTAGGGTAAAATTATTTCCAGGAAATTTTGTATTTAAAGTATACAATACATCCATGGTAGATTATTGACAATTGACACAATACATGAGATTGTTGGGTATATTTTTCTTGTTGAGGCCAATGGGATAATGTTACACATTGTAAATATCTCTTTTTATTATCAGGAGTTTGAGAGTAAGTTCAGCTCTAATTTAAAACCAGTTCTTAGGAATACAAAAGCTGTTAAACCGGTTTCTTCGGAAGAGGTCAGTAAGGTCCGGCGGTCTAATGAGTCTACTGGGTATATTTTTATAATTAAAAAAAAATTGGAATTACGATTTAAAGTTTTTGATTTTTCCTCACTTTCTTTAGCCACCAACACCTCTAACTTCATATACCGTGGTCAGCATATTTTTCAATACAAAAGCGTTTACTAAATTGGTTTTACTATACAGAAGCTCACATATATTTCAAAACAATATTCTAAAAAGATAAAATCCGTTAGACCAAAAAAAAACACGTCAAAAATGCTAGTTTTAAGAAAAAGTCTATTTTTAGGAGATTTTTTTAACCTAATGCAGTCAATTTTTTAAATTTTTTTAATTTATTTCAATGATAAATTCAAGAAATATTTTTTTTGAGCTATGCAGATTTTTTTGCGATCTGCACGGGCCTTGCACAACCACTTCCCATAGGTTTAAGAAAAAAATATCCTGTGAAAACTGACACTATAGTAAACAGTATTGGTCTGTGAGTTATTTCTATATTTTGTTGCAAATTGGGGCACTCCACTACTTAAAGGACATTTATAAAAACATTATTTTCTTCAGTTTTTCTTGAAAATAAAATATTGGTTTAAACCTTTCCCTTTAATTGAAGAGACTGCATACCATTGTAATTAAAAATGACCCTCCATTCAAAGAGGGGCATGCCCGATTCACAATGGTACCATTGAAACCTTTATCTGATCAAAATGTGGAACAAAACGTCGTTTTTTAGCATGAAAAGTGTCTAGTTCTGATAATTCCTCCTTTTTCTGCAATGCAAATGTGCAAAAGCCGAATTTAAAGAATTTAAGCCGCGGCTCAAATAAAATTGGTTCCACCTAAAATGGTATTCAATGTTTCAAGATTTGAGCCGGCGCTCAATTGAAACCTGTTTTAGCGGATTTAAGACTCGCCTCAAATTCATTAATTTCGGACTCAGGTCACTTTAATGAAAAACCGCAAATAAAATTCAAACTTGATCTTTTGTGGATACTCTTGTCAATTGGACATTTCACTCAACAAATGGATGGTCAAAAAAGCGTTCTCAATGACAAGCCCAGAACGTCTCTTTATGTCTGACCTAATTATTCATGAATCTTTAAAGTGTTCCCTTATTTGAATTTTATAGTTCACAGTAGAAAAAAGGGAAAGATGTTTAAAACCCTTTAAAAAATCGATATGAAAAATCGTAGAAGCCATTTTCTCGTGTCAAAGTCAAAAGTTGTTAAATTTCTCCGTTCGAGTTTTAGGACTTAAATATGTTAAAAATAATCATAGTTTGGGAGTACAGAGTATTGAAATATGTGTAAAATAGTAAGTTGGAAAATGAGAAGAAAAACTTGGAAGAAAATTCTCTAAGTAATTATCATAGCAATCCTTCAGGTAAGAAATAACGCAATTTTTACTTTATAATTTGTTAATTTTCTTTGTAAATGGACTGTAAGCGTATTTTCAAGAGACCTTCCAATCTCAATATTATGATGGTAATTCACAACGGTGCCCTTGAAATTCTTTATATAATCATTTAGCCAAAAAAATGCTGACATTTGGAAGACGACTTATATTTTCGACTCCAAGCAAATATTGGAAAATTTATTTCCAAAAATATATTGATTTTATGCTATATAGTACATTAGTATAAAGGGTTGGAA